ATTCTTTTCATTATATCTAGAGGGATAAGATACATATAGTTTACACTCCATAAATTCTCTAGAGTCTCTGGTCCTGAGTGGATCAGAGCCACCAGTACCACAAAACAATCTAACCGCCACAACCATTTCCCTCCCCAGTTACTTTGTCACTTACTAATACACCACTGCCATTTTTACCACGTACTTCTGTTAACACATTATCGCTAATCTCTGAAAGATGTGTTAAATCTATTATACCTTTGAGTGACCCCAATTTTATTATGTTTTGGGTAATGATGAGAAAATATCTTAATTTGCTACCTTGGAGAATGCACCATCTACGTTTAGTGTTTCTTAAATTTGTGTCCTTTATCACCACGCTTATTTAACCAACCCAAATACCGGTTCTTGCGTTAACTTTGTTTGCTAAAAATATAGCATAGCTAATGGAATAGGCCCAATTCTCTAAATTTTTATATTTATCATCATTTGATAGTCCTGACATATTTGTAAATGAATATTCTACACCATTGGGTGTAATTAATGAAATGGTAAGTTGCTCTATCTGTTGCTGATCTACAATACTCTTCCACTTACTATTAGTTGTTGTATTGGGTGCAACACCAATTGACCAACGTTGATAAATTGGGGTAATTAATCCACCATTTTGTAATTGAAAGTCTTTTATAAGGTGTTGGCGTATTAAACAGAGATAATACTACCTTCTTTTTCAGCAATTTCTATTTGTTTAATTGTATCTTTTATACTATTGAAAATTTTAGGATATAAATACCAGGTATGAGTTGCAATACCCATTTGGTCGCTAATGGCTTCAAGATAGTGCTTTGAGTTTTTGTCCATATCTAATAGTTTCCAAATTTTTTCTAAACTCTTTATATTAAATTTCTTTATTTTTTAAAAGGTTAATATTTGATTTTTTTCTTTTTTTTTTTAAACTATAATTCTTACAACTGGGTGAACATTTTTTTTTATTTCTAGGTGACAGAGAGCTCTTGCGCATAAAATTCTATCCAGGTCTAATATTTCTTTTTCATTGCAGTTCAATATTTGATTTTGGATATTTAGAATTGGTTTTGGTAATGGGGTTTCACTACTTTCAAAATTTTTTGCATAAGTGTCAAATAAACTAAGATAGTTACCAAAATCGATTCCAATTGGCTTTTTATTTTCATTAGATATTGGTGATGCAGTTGAAAAGAATTTTGTATTTAAATTTAATTTACTATTATTATATTCCCCTGTAAAAAATGTGGAGTTTGTTAAAACATTTTTTTTAAAATTATTAAATATTGAAGGTTTAGTAATTTTATTCATTATTATTATTTAATTATATTTATTGTTTATTAATATTTATTTTATTTATATTTTTTATTTTTTAATATTCAGGGTATTGTTGATGTTTGAATTTTTAAAAAAAATTAATTTAAAAAAATTAAAAAATTAAAAAATTTAAAAAAAAAAGAAAAAAAAAAAAAAAAAAAAAAATAATAATAATCCCAATAACATAGTTTCTATAAAAAACAAGGTTGTTCGTTTTGGTATTGATGTCAATTATTATAATTGAATTCATTCTTTAATAACTAATATCCACACCCCATATATAAAACTAAAAATATCCCTTTAATTTTATTTATTTGTTTGATATAATCTTTAATATTAACACAAAAACATTTTAATCAAATCACACAACCAAATCTTTTAAATTTTTTAAAAAAGACTTTGGGAAAGAAATAAAATAAAATTTTAATGATCACAAAAAAAAAAATTTAATTGAAAATTAAAAAAATTTGATTATAAAAAAAATTATAAAAATAAATCTTTTTTTTTTTTTTTTTTTTGATTTTTGTTGTTTTGAGATTTAAAATAAAAAAAAAAAATGATTTATTAAATTTTTTTTTATTTTATAAATTTATAATTTTCAAAATAGAATTTGTATTAATAAATAAATATATTTAATATATTTATTTATTTATTAATATTTAAGTAATTTATTTATTTATTTTATTTTTCTGTTTATTATAAATTTTATTTTATTTTATTCATTCCGATGCACAACCAATAAATTTCAATTTTTTTTTTTTTTCCATTTACACTACAATATTGTATTTTTTATATTAAAATCATATATTATATTTTATATATTATATAACAAAAACAAAATTTGTAAACAAAGTTTAAATTTAGAACAAAAAAAAGCATCTTATTTTAAACACCCACTTACATATTTATATCATTAACTTTTGTTTCAGTTATTAACAAACACCACAATAACCACCCCACTAATTTTTTTTTTTTTTTTTTTTTTTTTATTTTCAAATTTTTTTTAATTTTTTTATAAATTACACATCACCCACACTTTCATTCTATAAATCACTACAAACAATTGTTTTTGTAAATACTTTTTATTTTTTTTTTTTTAAAACTTTCAAAAAAAAGATATAAAATAATATTTGTAATAATAGTTATAATACAACAATACTCGCAACAGCAACAAAAAATTACAACAGAATATATAACTTATAAAAAAATAATAGTCTAAAAATAAATAAAGAAAAATTATATTTTTTTTAAAAAAAAAAAAATAAAATGAAAATATTTTTTAAAATAGTTTTTTTTATAATTGCCATAATTTTTATAAATAAATCATATTGCTTTATAGATGACGAAAATACAATAGTATTTAAAATGGCATTAATAATACCTGGGTTTAAAAATGATTTTGCCGATAATATGCAAATAGTGGAAGGTTTTCAATCATCTGCTAAAGAATTAAATATAATAGAGTCAAGAGTTGAAGAAAATATTCAAATATCAGATTTAAATAAATCAATTTCATATCTTATTCAAAACAAATATAATTTAATAATATTTTCAAACTATATTTATTTAAATTATTCATATAGTATTTCAAATATATATAATAATGTATCATTTATAATTGTAAATAATGACCCAAATAGTTTAATAAAAAATAATATCGATAATAGTAACAGTAATATAATAGAAATATACTATCCAACTGCATATTCATCATTTCTGGCTGGTTTTGCAAGTGGAGTAGGAACCTATTACAATAAAATTGCTTATTTAACAAATGGAGAGGAGGATGTTTCTTTATTAAATATGTTTTATTTTGGTGCAAAACTAGCAAATCCAAATATAAAGGTTTTATATTATTCCGTTGGTAAAAATGCAACTCAAGAGATTGTATCAAGTTCATTAGATTTTTTAATATATAAGAGAGTAGATTGTATATGTGGAACAGGGGTTTATGAAAAAATGATTTTAAATTATGTTGAAGAAAAGAAATATTTAAATTATATTTTAGCTCAATCGAATGCTTATCCAAATTTAAATAAAGACAAAATTATTTTTAATATGGTAAAAAATTGGACTGTTAGTTTGGTACCCATAATTTCAAGTATAAAAAACAAAGTTGTCAACTCAAATAATAGTAACAGTGGTACATCTCCAACAATAACCACATCGACATTTAATTTTAATTATTCATTCTTTGTTTTCGAATTTTCTTCAATAATAAATTTCTATCCAGCAATTATATCAAATCTAGATAGTTTTAATAATATATTTCAACATGATTTTAATGCTCCTTATAAAGAAAAATATAATATTTTAATAGATAGTAATAAACAAATAAATATTAATAATTTCAAACTCGGATATCAATGTGATGACTTTATGAAAATTGATGGTGAATGTATTCAAAAACTTCAATTTCAAAATAGAAATTTTCAAAATTTAGAATTTTTAGGTGCTTATGATGGTACAGCAGGAAAGGTAATTTTTATATTCTGAAATAAAAAAAAGTTTATACAAAAATATTAATTATTTTATTTATTTTAGATAAAAGAATCAAGACCAATAAAAATAGGTTTTACCGTTGTTTGTTCATTTTTTATGGCAATGCTAGTTTTTATTCAAATATGTATTTATAAATTAAAAAATAAACCATCATTTAAATCAGCAAGTCCCACTTTTTTGGTTTTTATTACAATAGGAGGAATGTTGGGTTATTTTGGAATTATAATATGGAATAGTGGAATAAACAATTTTTCATGTCATTTTAAGTTTTGGTCCATTTCGATAGGGTTTTCTATGATGATTGGGGCTATTGTGGTAAAGAATTTTAGAATATGGTTAATATTTGATAATCCCAAGTTAAGACAAATTAAAATTACAAATCTTCAGCTATTACCATGGGTTCTAGGAATGTTATTGATCAATATTTTTCTTCTGTGCTTAATATCTTTTCATGGTGGTGTCAGTTCCTCAACTCGATACGTAGATCCATTCAATTATAAATCAGTGTGTCAAATGAGCGCAAAAGGAATGAGCGCTCTCTTTGTACTATTGGGGTATTTTTGTGTAATTTTATTAGTGGGTGTATTTGTATCATGGAAAATTAGAATTGTAGATATCGAAGAATTCAACGAATCAAAAACCATTGCTCATACACTATACTCTATTAGTTTTTGCTTATTAATTATCATCCCATTACTTATATCACAAAAATCAAATGTCAATGTCAATTTAATATTATGTACCGCAGGTGTATTTTTAATATCAGCTATCATATTGAACATGTTTATACCCAAGTTTTATGGTTTATTTATATATGGTGCCAATGGTTCCAATGAAATATTTAGAAGAAATAAACCAGAAATGAAAGATGATGGTAAAAAGAATAATAATAACAACAACAACAAAAGAGTAAATTTATATCTATATGACTTTACAGATGATGAAAGTGAAAGTAAATCATCAGCTAAAGAAATGGAAGAGTTTACAAATGTTTTTACCCAGCAACCAAATTCAGATGTTGGTAATGAAAACACTAATTATGATGATCAAACTTTTACAACAGAGGCATCAGAACAGCCAAACCCAACACCTAGAACTAATATTACAAACACACCAAGAACAGATATTTCGACTCCTAGAACAGATATGCTAATGACACCAAGAACATTTGCAATGAATACTCCAAGAATAGAATTATCAACACCACGTTCAGAAAATGAAATGGTAATGACCCCAAGACAATACCACAACCATATTACTTCATTATCACCAATAGTAGAAGAAGAAAATAAAAATAGTAATGAATCTGACAAAGAAGATAATGAAAAAGAATCACAACACATAGAAATTAATATTGATGAGGTTTTTAATAACAATAGCAAAAACAATAATAGCAGTAATAATGAAGATAAATAATAAAATTATAGATAGTAATGGTTTATAATTTTAAAAAAAATGTAATAATAAAAAAAAATTTTATTTTTTTAAAACATATAAATTGCCAATGTGTACACTTTTATATGATTTTGAGTTATTGTAATATTCTAAATCATCTAATTGATCGTTTTGTTGGAGTAGTATATCTAAATCCTCTAAAGATAGGGTTTGGTCATAAATTGGATTGTCGTAAACATCTTGAACCCTATTAATTGTGACAACTGACATAATAGGTGTAGTGGGGCATAAACAATATGGTTTATTCTGATAGCACTGCTTTTGAATGATTGCTCTATTACCATTGAACTCTAGTCTATTTGGATGATTGATACCATTTCTAATTCCGTAGTATTTGACAATTCCATTTAATATGGAGTCAACATCTGATGTCTTATAAATAGTTGAGCATAGATCAAAGGGGTAGTTCCAGTCTCTTTTACAATCTGATTCGGATCTATTCCACTTCAAATACTTTTCTCCACCTGTTTCTTCATATGACAATTCGGACAAAGATAAGGGAATAGTAATTTCTTCATCGGCAGTATGGCAGTATGTAATGTTTGATGTCATCTTCATATAAAAACCCAATGAACTTGTCTCTTTTTTTAATATTTTACAATAATTTGATATATTGAATTGATGGAAATATAGAATATCATCTACAGAAAACAAAGTAAATTCCATCGTATTTGATTTTTGTGCCTCCTGAATTAGCTGTTCGGTAAAGTTTTCTTCTTTAATAAATTTAACATTTGGAAATTCTTTTTCTACTGCTTGGTATGAACTCTTAAATTTTAAATTTGAATAAGTATACAAGACACTAAACTCGATTTTAAAACTACTATCAGTTTCGGACAAATACTTGAAAAATGTTCTGATGTGCTCTCTTAACTGAAATGCTCTATCTTTTGAAAAACAAATAATTTTTATTCCATTATCTTTAAATTTATTGTTATTACTATTTATTGTGGGTTTATTATTGGTACTTGAGTTTGATAAAAAATTTAATAAAGATGCATTGCTATCACTGGTTTTATTTGTATTATTATTATTAGTTTCATTTGTTTTTAGATTTGAAAGTAATGATAGTAGTTGTGATGTTGGGTTCCTTGATATCCATTTCTTCCACATAGCTTCGCTTTTTTGATTGTTTGGGAATTTACTAAGGCAAAGTGAGGCTATTTCACCTATTCTTTCATTTGTTGCATCTTTAATGTTGGTCGAGTATTTTTGATTTTCTTGATTTAAAAATGATGACTCTATAGCTTCCAGGTATTCGATCGACTTTTCAAAGGTATCTTCTGAAAGTGTATCATTATTTTCTGCAATATACTTTACTGGGCTTATTAAAAATCTAACTACTTCACTATCTAAAGATGCATTACTACTGGAGGTTTTAATGCCATTCTTTTCAAACAGTTTTTCTAAATAAAATGTTGAAGCTTGTGCTGTTGATTCTCTTTGCTTAACTATATTTTTTGATGATACTGAGTTGCCATGCTTTCTTAAAAATAGCAAAGGAGTATTACTTTGAATGTTTGAGCACTTTAAATTACCATTAACTATACAGTTTAACCATAGATCATAATCTTCAATAAATGGATATGTATCTTGATATTTAAATGTATCAAAAATGGATCTTTTGAATAAAACCGATGGATGAACTAGGCAGCAATTAAAAAACATTGACCAATTTGCCAAATCTTTATCTGGAAACTGGATGAATTTGAATATTTCCTTTTCTTCCTCTCTATTTATTACTGACAAAAGTTGATCAATAGTATCCATTGAGTTTATTTTAGCCAAGTTTTTCTCTTCTAATATTTGATTTAGCTTCTCGTCATTAAACATCTTTATTGGACAGCCTAGAATATCGATTTCACTATTTGATTCCATATATTTGATTTGATTTTCTAATCTCTTTGGATGAGATATATCATCAGCATCCATACGAGCAATATATTTTGATGTTGGGGAACAATAGTTGATAATTGACTCATTTAGAGTTTTTACTATTCCTTTATTTACACCGTTTTTATGATATTTTATTCTATTATCGGAAAGTTTGAAAGATTCTATTAAACTATCGATTTCATTTAAATTTGATCCATCATCTACTATTATTAACTCCCATTCTTTAAAGGTTTGATTTACTATACTACCTATTGATATTTTAAAACTATTAAGCTCATTATTAAAGTTATTATTATTATCTTTTTTTATTAAAAATGGTAATATTACACTAATCATTTTAAAAAAAATTAAATGAAAATTTTTAAAAAAAATTGAAAAATTAAAAAAAAAGGAAAGGAGAGAATTTTTTTTTAATAAATATTAAAAGTTTAGTTTTTCTTTTATTTTACAACTATAAAAAATAAATAAAATGTTTTTTATTTTTTTTATTTTATTTTTTATAAAAAATATTATAAGGAATCAATATTTTAGAAAAAAAAAATAATACTGTTTCATTATAATTATTGTTTTTTTGACTTTGCTGTTTTGTATATACACTACACATAATCTTTAGGTTGAAAAAAAAAAAAAAAGAATGTGTATAAAAAACTATTATTGTTGTTATCATTTGATTTAATAAGTTTTGGTACAATAATTATTATTATATTGTGAGTTATCTTGGTGTTGTAAAAGTTCATTACGTAATTCAAGGAATTTATCTTTGAGTAAACACAGTCTTGATCTTTCAGCTTCAGCAATTTTTTTAACTTGGTTTAATTCTTGATCTTTTTGGATTGCCTCTTTATTTAATCTTTCAATTTCTTTAAGTTTAAGCATTATCATTTCTGATGGAGAACCAACAAGGAATTGACTACCACCAATACTACTACCAATATTATTAGCACTACTACTTCCATAGCTACCAACATAGTGAGTATTACTACCACTATTCAAAATATTTGGGCTAAATGCTGATGACGATGAATATCTTGGTGATTTACTTAGACTATTGTTATTAACTAATTGATTTGGAGTATTTGTTGGTGTACCAATTACTGCACTATTATTTCCATTAGTACCATTATTATTTCCATTGGGGTTTATATTATCATGGCTATAAGACCTTCTTACTGATGATGGAATATTAATTGATGATGAAACTGAATTTGATCTAACAATTGGTGGGATAGAGGATTGTTGCTGTGGTGAAAGTTGTTGCTGTGGAATATAAAGACGTGGGGATAAACATGGATTTAAATGATGAGTCTGGTAGGTATAGTGTTGTTGGCTGTTTCTTCTTACATGGCCACTAGCTGATGGTGTAGCACTTTGTTGTGGTGGAGTTTTTCCGAGTATATAGTTTGATAGAATATTTTCATCACAATATTGATTTAAAGAAAGATCTTGGAATTGTTTAAGGTCTCCCATCTCCATGAAAACTGGTTCTAACTCTGGCGATTTTCTACTAGAGGATTTACTACTGATACTATTATTATTATTATTAACACTATTGCTACCACCAGTGGTACTATTATTTGATTTTCCACTGCCATCAGATTGTTGACTTAAAACTTTAGATAATTTCTTAATTTCATCTTTTAATCGATTGGATTTCAACCTTTCTTTTTGAGCTCTTAGCGCAACTTTGAAGATAGCATCATCCTTTTCTTTAATCTCTAGTAATGATTGATTTTGTAAACTATCAACTTGTCTGCTTTCTTCTTCTAAAATTAATTTTAATTCATTTACTTTATTTGAAAAGAATACGGTCTTGAATGTGTCATACTCGATAATATCCTTAATCCTTCTAATCTCCTCATCCTTCTTTTCAAATTGTTGTGCTAAAATATATAACTCTCTCTTTTCTTCAGTATAAAATTTGGGTAATTGTAAATTACTGCTACTATTACTACTTGAGCCAACTATAGTTTTAGGTGAATGTTGAGTTGGTGATGAAATTAATCTATTGGGTGAAATTGATCTCGAAACAGCATGCTGTTGACCATGAATACCACTACTATTTGTTAAACTATCATGACTATGACGATTGTTATAATATTGACTATGGCTATGATGATGGTGATGACTACTTGAAGAAGAGGAACTTGAATGTGATGAAGATGGGATTGGAGAGTTACTTAACGATTCAAATGAAAATCTTTCATTAATCTTTTTAATATCAACAATTGTACTATTTTCTCTAATTTGACTTATTGAATTTAATGATTTTTTTAATTTTGTAATCTGATCTGTACAATCCATTAGTTTTTTCTTTTGAGTTTCTGCAACCATTAACAATCTATTGATTTCTTTTTCTTTATAATCTACTTCTTTTCTTCGTTTTTCCAATATTGAACCCCAATATTCTTTTTCGGAATGAACCAATTGAGAAAGTTCTTCAAACTTTGATTTTAAATATTTATATCTTATTGATTCCGCTTTCGCTCGATTAACAACTCTTTCTAATTCATCATCTTTACTGTGATATGAAGTTACTAGATTTGAAACTGTTTCTTTTGTTTGTTCAATATTATTGTCATTATTTAATTTATTATTATCAACATTATTATTTACTTTATCTGTGTTATTATTTAGTTGTTCTGGGTGCTGTGTTGATTGTTGATCATGTTCCATTATTGGTGAAATTATTGTTTTTGTAGTAGATGTTGTTGTTGTTGTTGTTAAATTTGTTGGTGTTGTTGTTAAATTTGTTATAGGAGGACTAGCAGTAACACCTGCACTACTTTTTTGTACTGGTGAATCCCAAAATGATAAAGATGATAAGGGTGGTGATTTACCAAGCAAATCTATTGAAGATGTCGAAGCCATTGATTGAAGTGAGGTTTGGTCAGCAAAAGAAAGTGGTGAAAAAGTTTGAAATGGTGATTGAATAGTACCCTCGATAGCTGATAATGCTGCTGACTTTTCAATAATATTGCTTTTTCTTTGTTGGATATCTAATGGTGATCCTTTTTCAATTGCTGCTGAATCACCACTACTACTCCTTGAATTTGGTGAGGTAGTTGGTGATGTTGTGGGTGTTAATAATAATTCGTCATTCTCTAAATCTTCATAAAAATCTTTGATATATGAATTTAATAATTCTCTGTATTCTATATTAATTGAAAATAAAATAATTAGTATAATGGATTACTGTATACATAAAAATATTTAAAACCCTATATTACATACCTTTAATATAATTAACATAAAATAATGAATCTTTTTTATCTTTTTCGATTAATTTGGTTTGTCTTTTTATTTCTTTTTCTCTTAACTCGATTTGACTTGATAATATATTTTTAGCTTCGTTTTTATCCAAGGAAAATGATTGAAATTCTTCTTTATTCTTTTTATTTTTATCAAACTTTTCTTTATTATTATTATTATCTATATTATTGTTATCATTATTATTATTATTATTTATATTATTATTATTATTATTATTATTATTATTATTATTATTATTAATTTGATCATTTATATTAAAACCTCTACTAACTATTTTTGGTTGATAATCTGTTATTATATCAGAATCCCTTATCCTATTATTAAACTCATTATTATTACCACTAACTGCATGGTTTTTATTATTACTACTATTATTATTATTATTAACACTATTATTTTTATGTTGTGAGTTATATTTCTCTAATGATGATTTTATTGAAAGTGTTTCCATTTTTTTAATTTTATATTGTTGTTAATATTATTTTTTGATAAAATACAAATTACTATCTATTTGAATATTATTGTTATAATTTAGTCTAAACAAAAAATATATAAATTTAAACAATCTTTCTAATTTTTTTCCTGTATTATTTCTTTTTTTTTTTTTTTTTTTTTTGTTTTTTTTTTTAATTTTCTATTTAAAACTATATTATTAAATTTTTGATAATTTAATATTTAATTTAAAATAAAATAAAAAAATTAATATTAAATCTTTTTTTTTAGGTTATTTGGGGTATGTGTTTATGGTGTGGTTTTTTATGTGTTTATATAGTTATATGTTATTTTTTCTTATATATAAAATTATTATTTATATTTTTTAAAATTCAAATTACAATTTATTTAAAAAAAATTTATTATTAATATTTAATGATATAATTTGAAATTAAAATATAATTATAGGTGAATGAGTTGAATTGATAATTCGTTTTTTGTATGTGTATGATATTTATTGTATTTGATATTATAACAAGTTGTTATATGTATATGTAATGTTTTTTTTTAAATATTTACCTTTAAAAAATACTTGATAAACTACT